TTCCAAGGATTGACTTTGGAAATTGGTTCACAAGAGAGAAGAGCAAGTTACGAGGGTTGGGTCTTGTAGACTGTAACTAGCAAAAATCTCAAAGTAAAATCTATTTCAGTGATCGAAACAAATTGAGGCGAAGCAAAGTTGGAGGCTATCTCTCATCATAATTATTTTCAATTATCTATTTATTTATTTATTTCAATTTATTAAATTTATTTTGCTAAACCCCTCTTTATTTTACTTGTGTAGTTTTCTTGGATCAAGATCAATTCAAATCGATACTGGAAATTTCTAAGTCCTGCAGATCGACCATTTCTTCTCTATATTACGTTATTAGCTTATTTATTTGAGAAAAAAGATTTATTTATTTGACAATTTCGACTCTTGTCAAATTGGTGCAGTTGCCAGGGACTTCGACAAATTACTGATATTGTTTTTTTTATTCATGACCAAGAAGAATCCGGGTGAGGTTGTTGACTTTAAATCTGAGATCGAAATAGTAGCTCGAAGACTACACGCACGCTTAGGGAAAGAAGACAACAACAACAACAATGAGACAACGAACCGATCCCTAATCTGACAATTAGTTATGGCACCTACTGAACAACAACCATTATGCATTGCATTCTGGAATAGACAAACACCATTTGAACTTGAACTCAAGATTTGCTTGATCCATCTTTTACCTACTTCCCATCGATTGCCGAGTGGAAATCCTCATAAACACCTTATTGAATTTCATATGGTTTGCTCTAGATGAAACCACAGGGAGCATCCGATGATCAGATTAAACTTCGTGCTTTTCATTTTTCCTTGGCCGATTTGGCTAAGGATTGGTTATTTTACTTATCGCCTAATTCTGTTACTACTTGGGCTGATATGACTCGCCTTTTTCTTGACAAGTTCTTCCCTGCTACAAAGGCGAGTTAATTAAAGCAAATCATCTTAGAAAACTGACAAAATGATGGAGAATCGTTATATGACTACTGGGAATGATTCCAAAAACTTTGTGCTAGATGTCCACAGCACGGGTTAACAGAACATCCTCTTCTCCAATATTTCTATAAAGGACTACTTCCTTTGGTGATGAAGATAATTGATCAGCTAGTGGAGGAGCACTTGTGATTATGACTCTGCACGCGGCCAAAAATAAAATTTCTACCATGGCCACTAACTTTCAACAGTTTGGCTCTTACAATGAACCTACTCGTGTGGTTCACAAGATAAGTACAAGTCCATTGGAAAATAAAATTATAAGTTGGTTGATATTGTTCAATCTCTTGTTGCAAGCAAAATAGTTTGATAGGTGGTTTATTTAGATACTATTTTGTCTTTAATTTGCTCCTTGATTGTTAGTTTTTGTGGTTGATTTGTTCATTTTTAATTCATTTTCTGTGCAGGGTATTAGATTTTGGAAATTGCACTAAAAGGACAGAATTTTACATTTTTTTCTATTTTGGAGTCAATGATGGAGTAGTGGGCATGACGCGTTTAACGTGGCATCTAGTCAAATTCAATTTTCTTACCTACGCGACAACTCTGGGAGATATTATAAAAAAATTATATCAAATCACTAAATAATATTACTAAACTATATTTTCTCTCCTATTTTACTCAATGTACTTTCAATTTTTTAATTTACTCACTGAACTTTCGAATTGCTCCAATTTTGATCACTCTGAATTATTTATTATTATTTTTATATGATGTAGCATTTTTTATTATTTAATTTAAAATAATTAAAAATATAAAACAAAAAATAGAAGGTGTCGGACGCCACAACCGACTGCCGTAGATGGTGGTCGTTCGATCTCAAATATTATGGGTCATGTTTGTCTCGACACCTTGATTCCGAATCCGCCCTCATTTTGTCGGGACTTGCTTTAGAGTCCACGGATTAGAGATCGAAAGTGAGGAAGCTAAAACGTTTCAGACGAGATTAATGAATTTTGGGATATTTTTCTGGTGAAACAACCACCAAATTTGAACTCAGGGGGTTGAAACGAACAAGATCCATGAAATTTGAGACCGAACGACCACCATCTATAGCTGTCGATGGTGGCGTACGACCACCTTCTATTTTTATTTTATATTTTCAATTATTTTAAATTAAATAATAATAAAAAATACCACATCATACAAAAATAATAATTTAATAATTCAGAGATATCAAAATAGGAGCAATTTGAAAGTTCAGTGAGTAAATTAGAGAAATTGAAAGTACGATAAGTAAAATAGGAGAGAGAGTATAGTTAGTGAGGAACAGTGTATTTTACCCATATTAAAAACGCGGTTAAAAGTTAAAATAAAATTGATAAACTACACATTTAATATTTAAATTATCAGTTTAAGTCTATTTTAGTACCTAAACTTCCAATTTTTTCAAAAATACCTAACACTTAGTTTTTGTTCTATTTTAGTACCCCCATTGTTAAAAACTTAACGGACTGGCTCGCCGATCATCGCGTCTGCAATTGGCGATCGTTGCATCTGTCGGTTAATAAAGCCCAAACTTTCTAGTCGGCACCTTTTCAACCCCTAAATATGATTTTGACCTCTGTTTCATCGAGAAATTCTCTCTTGGTCCATCGTTCAAATTGGTCGTCCGTCCACCGGAGTTATGCCACATTAGTCTATCCGTTAAGTTTTTAAAGGTTGGGGGTACTAAAATGAAACAAAAGCTAACGTTAGGTATGGTTTTAAAAAAATGAAAGTTTAGGTACTAAAACGACCAAAAACTAATAGTTTAGGTACTAAACTCATAGTTTATCCAAATGAAATTTATCCCTTATTATTATTACTCCATTTATAATTAAGGTAAACTACATCATTTCTCAATTAGCTTTACTCTCTCTCATATTTCAATCATTGTACTTTCAACTTTTAAAAATTTACTAAGTAAACTTTTGTATTACTCTTGTTTTGAATACCATCGACCACCGTTGGTCTACGAAATCGACAATCGTTTAATCTCAAATTGTACAGAGAAACTCGCTTTGGCATGTCGAGTCAAAATCTAATGATTGTTTCACTAGAAAATGTCTCAAAATCTATGAATCTCGACTGAAACATTTCAGTTTCTTCATTTTTGATCTCCTATTTGTGGAATTTGGAGCATGTTTCCGACAAAATGTAGGTTGGATTCGGACTCAAGGGTCAAGACAAAGCGACCCATGAAATTTAGGACCGAAAGACCACCATCTAAGGCAGTTGACGACAGTCAATGTTTTGATTTTCTTGCTTTTGATATTATTTGGAGCATGATCCAACAAAATGGAAGTCGGATTCGAACTTAGGGGGTTGAGATGAAGCGACCGATGAAATCTAGGATAGAATGGCCACCAACTACGACCGTTGACGGTGGCGACCAACGTCAACAAATAGTGGACATCTGTAATATGTTTTTATTTTATATTTTAAATTATTTTTATATTAAATAATAATAGAAAATGTCGCATCATATCAAAATAATAATAAATAATTTAAAGTGAGTAATTCAAAATTTTAGTAAATAAATTAGAAAAATTAAAAATATAATGAGTAAAATAGGAGAGAGTAAAGTTTAGTGTGGAGTATAATTTAACCTTATACTTAGAGTCATATAGTTAGTAGAGTTTACAGTCTTGAGGCATGATCAACACTAAACAAAGCAAAGCAAGCAAGCAGTTGTAGTCTCAGCTTCTTGGATTCTTAAGATCACATAAGGACCATATAAGGAAATATTAAAATCTAACTAAGAAAACTAGAACAAAGGTAGATACAAACATATCTGATCACGTTGCCAAACAAACCACAAAAAAGGATCAAACTACTGAAAGACTACAGACAGATCGCAAATCAGACTCTACTGACTTGAAAATTTATCCACGAACGCATAAAAAATATCCAAATCCAATCCGAGGATCCAAAGCAGGGAAGATCAATAATATAACAGATAAGTATCATATTCATCAGTCGTGGTGATTTCTAATCAACCCTTAAAAAAGATAAGTAAACATAACGGTCAAATGACCAAAAGACGTATTAAAAGGAAAAAGAAAATGTGTCATAAAGATAGATGAAAAAAAACAAAATAAATATGTAATATAAGAAAATAAAAAGATAATAAAGAATATCGATGACCGACAACCAACATTAAAGTTAGTATCGTCGCCAATCAATAAAGATAAAAAACAAAACGATAAACAATTTTAATGAGAGAAAATTAATAGATTTTTTTTTGGAGATGAACATTCTATTAATTCTAATATATTCATTTATTCATTTGTTTTATTTTTTTCACTATATTTATATTATACGTTAAATATTATTCTTATATATACTTAGTATTATTTAAGAGTTTGATTGCAGTTAGTGTTAATAGAATACGCTCAATCGAGAAAAATTATAAATCGATGTATTATTAGATAATTGTGATTATAAATTAAGTACATAAAAATGTGAAAAAATAAACAAATTGTTTAATTGAGTATCTTTGTAAAAATAAAACCGTTATAAAAGAAATGTCAATATTGAAAAAATAGATTAATTTATGTATTAATATGAAGATAGGTTAAAGTATTAATGTGTTAAAAAAAATTTGAATATCATAAAAAAATTTAAATATCATAAAATATTTTAAAATAATATTTATTCAAATTTTTTAATTATTGACAATAAATATATACGTTTTATATATGAAACTATTTAAATTTAGAATTTAGAAAAAATAATGTTTTTTTATCATTAGATTCAATTTCTTTTAAATATTAATGGAAAAATAAAAAAAATGGTGTAAAAGTTAAAAACAATTATATTTTAATTTATAATGTAGAGTCCACCATGTGGGCTTTACACTCGACTCGAGGCTAGTCAACAGTGAACATAAGAAAGCAAAGCAAGCAGTTGTAGTCTCAGCTTCTTGGATGCTTCTTGGATTCTTCCGGGGAAACAACTTCTTGGAAATTTGATCTCTTTTTTCTATTTATTGATGCTCATATATTTGGACTGTTACTAGTTTTTTCCTGGGTATCAAGCCATCTATATTTCTTTGATTTGAACATCAGATTGAGACACCCTTTTCTTCCTCCTATAATTCGTCATGTTGTCGTTGCCTTCATCTTCCTCGTCTATTTCCAGTCACAAATATGATGTTTTCTTGAGTTTTAGAGGTGAAGATACCCGCAGAAATTTTACAGATCATCTCTATGATGCTCTTCAACGCAGTGGAATCGTCACTTTCAGGGATGACCCGAAGCTGGAGGCCGGCGAAGAGATTGCCCCAGAACTCTTTAAAGCCATTCAACAATCATGGTGCTCGGTAATCGTTTTCTCCAAAACCTATGCCTTTTCAAGTTGGTGTTTGGAGGAGCTTGCTGAGATTGCTAAAAAAAAATTGGAAAAAGGTCATAAAATATTTCCAATATTCTATGATGTGGATCCGTCTGATTTAAGGAAACAAAAGGATAAAGTTGGAGAAGCATTTGCCAAACACGAAGAGACATACAAGGAAGATCAACACAAGATCCAAAGATGGCGAAATGCTTTGACTGAGGTTTCTAACATCAAGGGATGGCATTTGAATAACAAGTAATTCATTCTTTTCTCTCTTAGATAATTTATTTCATGGTCATATCTGTTCATTTCTCAAATGAATAAAAAAAACTAAATTTAATTTCTATTGTAGGCATGAATCTGAATTCATTGGAGATATTGTTAAAAAAGTCTCAGCAAAATTATGTCAAACGTATCCTGTTGTTCATGATAAGTTGGTCGGAATTAGTTCCCGTTTGGAGGAGTTGTATTCAAAAATCGATGTTGGAGAAGATGATGTCCGTATTATAGGAATATGTGGAATGGGTGGCATCGGTAAAACCACTCTTGCAAGAGTTGTTTACGACCAAATGTCATCTCATTTTGAAGGCAAAAGCTTTCTTGTTGATGTTCGAGAAGTTTCAAACAAATTGGGACTTGTTTCTTTACAGAAACAACTTCTTTCTCAAACCTTGTCTGAAGGAGGATTCAATATATTCGATGTTGATGAAGGAAATGCAATCATCAGTCATAGGTTATCTCACAAAAAGGTTCTTGTTGTTATCGATGATGTTGATAACAGAAAACACTTAGAACACTTGGTTGGAAGGCGTGATTGGTTCGGTTCAGGCAGTAGGATCATTGTAACAACAAGAGATGAACATCTGCTCCGATCTTATCGAGCCGACTATGTGTATAAGCCTACAACATTGAGTCCCAATGATGCACTTCGACTTTTTAATTTGAAAGCTTTCGATAGTGAGACAGCGTTGGAAGATGTTTTCATTGAGCTTTCTGAACATGTTATAAGTTACGCTGGTGGTCTTCCCTTAGCTCTTGAAGTTTTGGGTTCTTTTTTGTGTGGTAGAGATGCAACTCAATGGAGAAGTGCAATTGAAAGACTTAAACGAGACTCCAACAAAGAAATTCTTGATAGACTTCAAATCAGTTTTGATGGATTGGAAGAAAGGGAAAAGAATATATTTCTTGATATCGCATGCTTCTTCAATAGGGAGGAGAAAGATTTTGTAACCAAAGTGTTGGACGGTTGTGAGTTTTTCCCAGAGATTGGAATCGATGTTCTCGTTAAGAAATCCCTAGTGGCAGTTAACCGAGAGAACAGATTGTGGATGCATGACTTGCTACAAGAAATGGGAAGAAAAATTGTTTGGGAAAAATCTATTGATGAACCTGGAAAGCGTTGCAGATTGTGGGATGAAAGGGACATCCAACATGTTCTAACAAAAAAAACTGTAAGTCATTCAATAAAACTAAGTCTTCCTATGTACAAAAATATACATAATATTTTGAATATTCGATCGAGTAGGAGGAATATATTTATTCATTATATTGCAAAACTATGCCATTTAAAATATTTTTAGTTGATTATAAATGTTAATAAGGATTTGAAAAAGTATATAATTTCAGTAAATCACTCTCATTGAAAAATGTTATAATTTGTTTAAAGTGATTTATTTACTATATTCCGATCAAAATATTATCGTAATGTTAAACATAGGTGTAAATTGTCAAAAATTTTATCATGCAGTTTAAACCATTCATTCTGTCTTCTTATACTCTGTTCATGATTTCTTGTAGGCCACGGAAGTGATTGAAGCCATGATCATCGACAATCAAAGGAAGGAAAATATTTGTACGCGTTTATCAATGTATGTTTCAGTGTAGTGTATAACATATCGTCAAAAGCTTTTAAAAATAAATCCAACTGATTTGAGTTTTACTAATCTGTCATCATTTGGTCTAGTAACAATGTGTGTTAGGGCGCAAAATAGTTCCAGTTTGTTAGCTTAGGTAATTTGAACTCAGATTTAAGAGTTAGATATAGATATGTGGTTTACATGTGCATTGGTTTTAATGTTTTTCCATGGATTCGAAGAGTTCTTAAAATATCATATTACAATACTCTTATTCGAATATGCGTCAGATACAAGTATCAAACACGGATGATTGAAACACACAGTAATGGAGCAACATAGCTTTTAGGTATTGGATTTGTTTTTGCATAGTTTGAAGCTCATTTTTTGTTTTTCTCATGGTTATCAGGGAATCGAACAAGACACTCAATTTGAGTGTCGATGCATTCTCAAAGATGAAAAAATTGAGATTGCTCAAAGTTCTTTGCCCCTCAAATTGTGATGGTCTCAAATATCTTTCTAATGAGCTACGGCTTTTAGATTGGGAAGGATGTCCTTTAAGATCTCTGCCCTCAGGCTTTCAACCGGGCAACCTTGTTGCACTTCTGTTACAATACAATCACTTTAAACAACTATGGGAGGGAGCCAGAGTAAGAATTAATTCTATTTTTAAGATGAATGATTAAAATTTGATTATGATAGAGACAAAAATAACAAGAATGAGCTTTCTTATGTTTTCTCTTTTCTCTCTAATTTATTATTGTTTTCAACAGCCCTTGTACAAGCTGAAAGTGTTAAACCTCAGAGGGTCCCTGAACCTGATCAAGACTCCGGACTTTACAATGGCCCCAGCTCTTGAAGTTTTGATCCTGGAAGGTTGTAAAAAAATAGTTGATGTTCATCCATCCATAGCAGAGCTTAAGAGGCTTCAAAATTTGAATTTGAGAGGCTGCAAAAGTCTTAGGAATCTTCCAACCAAAATTGGAATGGAATCTCTTCAAACATTCGTTCTTTCGGGTTGTTCAAATCTTCTTTGGTTTCCAGAGATTGATTGTAAAATGGATTGTCTAAAAACTCTTGATCTTTCCGGATGTTATAGAGTTGGATTTTTGCCAGAGAGTTTGCAGCTAGCAGAGTTTTTGGAAGAGCTCGACTTGAGTGAAACGGCCATAACAAAACCACCGTCCTGCATTTTTCGACTTAAAAATCTTAAAGTTTTGTCTTTCAACGGCCGCAAGGGATCTTCATCTAAGTTTCAACAAAATTTGCCTTCTCTCTTCAAAAAATTCCAAAGAGGAAAGACAAATTCAATGGCTCTGATGTTGCCTTCGTTGTTGGGTTTGAGTTCATTGAAAGAGCTGAAACTAACTGGCTGCAATCTTTGTGAAGGAGATATTCCTACTGATATTTCTTGTCTATCCTCTTTGGTAGACCTCAATCTCAGCAGTAACAATTTCGTCAGCCTACCTGATTCTCTTACTCGACTTTCCAAGCTTGAAAGTCTTGAATTGATGAATTGTCGGCGGCTGAAATCATTGCCTGAGCTTCCAACAAGTACAGCAAATGTGAGCATAGATGATTGTGCTTCTCTGGAACTAATTGCTATTCCATCAAAATTATGCAATTCAAGTTATTTTTGGCAGATTATGGGTACCAACTGCCACAGATTGGCTGAGAACATCAATGCATTAACATTGCTGAAAAAACATCTCAAGGTTGTTCAATCTCTCTTTTTTGCTTAACAAAATCTCGTACTTGAGAATTTATGTTTTTAGTTACCAGCGAAAGGTGTATTATTTTGCAGGCATTTGCAAATTCAGGAAGAAGGTTAGATGTTATTATACCTGGAAGCGAAATCCCGGAATGGTTCAGCCATCAAAGAGTCGACACTTCAATCAAGATGCCACTGCCTCTCAGTATTCGGAATGATAGTCAATGGATGGGAGTTGCTTTCTGCTGCATTTTTGCCGGTGGTGATTCTTCGGGGGATGAGTTTATCAACTGTAAAGGTGTTATCCGTTGTGGAGAACCTCGAGGTCTTGATAGGTTTTACGTTCCTTTAGGGAAAAGATATAATCAGCCCATAAAAATGACCACCTTTTTTTGGTTATTTGCCGCGTGATGTGTTATATCCATATTACTTAGAGAATGAATGTGGTGAAAGTGAAACCGAGAATACATCAACACCGGATTGCTCAAATCAGGAATGCGATGAACTTGAATTGTCATTCGAATATGAAGCTCGTGGCAAAGGTGTTGGGGTGAAGAAATGTGGGGTTGGGATAGTGTATGAGAAAGATTTGGAAGATGTCCAACTTACAACAGAGCAACACATGAATCAAAGTAGGGAAAAAATTGAATGAAGACTCCACTGTTGATGGACACAGAGAGAGACATGTTGAGAACCATTAGGTACATGGGAAGAAACGTTTGTTGATTATGCTGACTTTCTAATCACCACTCTCGTATTACTAATTCTCTGCGTAAGTTGTCTATTTGGTACCTCATCTATTTTTCTATTTTTGTTTTGATCGTCCAACTACTGTATTTTGATATATATATATATTTTTATAAAAACTTGGCTGTTGACTAACTAAAAATAGTAATATGACATAATGTAATAACAATTTTAGTCTTTAACACTTACATATTCTATTAAACGAAACCTAATTTGGAATAAACATACTATTTAAATCATTATTCACCATATAAACATAATATGTCAATAAAGAAGAGGAAAAAGGAGAAGGAAAAAAAAAGCTTCTTTAGCCCATCATTTACCAAAGTTAGGTGTGTGATGTGGGTCATTCCGGATTAGTCAAGACGAAACCTTGAAATCGGGAGGATAACAAAAAATATTAGAGAATTTTAGAATACCAAAACTACTTTGGCAAATGTAATATTTAAAAAAAACAATTTCTAATTAGAGAGAAGGAGAAGAGAAATTATTGATAACTTAAATATTGACAGTAAATACCAATTGATAACTTTTAACCACTTTAGAAATTATTGACAGTAGTATAATAGATAATTATGGTTGAATATATATATATATATATATATATATATATATATATATATATTAAACAATACTAATATAGGATTTAAAATGAAATGAGTTTAAAATTTTATATTTTTTAAATATATTTATATTTTATATACTTATAATAATGGAAAATATTAGATTTAATTTAAAAATATAAAATACTAATTTTTTCTTTTAAACTTGTATAAACTTTATATAATAATTTTTTTCAATTCATCTTACCTACACGAAATTATCAAATCACTAAATAATATTACATGTATTTTGACTCTCTATTTTTTTTTTCTTCTAATACAATATACCTCTAATTTAACAAATAAACAGAATATATTTTAGATATTAATATAAAAAGGGTAAATTATACCATTCCATCACTTACTATACTTTCTCTCCTATTTTACTCAATGTACTTTCAATTTTTTAATTTACTCACTGAAACTTTCAAATTGCTCCAGTTTGATCACTTTGAATTATTTATTATTATTTCTATATGACATGGAATTTTTTATTATTATTTAATTTAAATAATTGAAATAAAAAATAAAAAATAGAAGGTGTTAGATGCCACCATCGACTGTTATAGATGGTGGTCGTTCGGTGTCATTTTTCATGAGTCTTGTTCGTCTTGACACCTTGATTCTGAATTCGCCCCCATTTGCCATAACATGCTCTAGAGTCCACGAATAGAGATCGAAAGTGAGGAGTCGAAACGTTTCAGTCGAGATTCATGAGTTTTTGGAAATTTTCTGGTGAAACAACTACCAAATTCAAACTCAGGGGGTTGAAACGAACAAGACCCATGAAATTTGAGACCGAGGACTACCATCTACAGCGGTCGACAGTGGCTGGCGGTGGTGTCTAGCCACCTTATGTTTTTCATTTTATATTTAAATTATTTTAAATTAAATAGTAATAAAAATGTCACATCATACAATAATAATAAAATAATTCAGAGCGATTAAAATAGGAGCATTTGAAAGTTTAATGAGTAAATTAGAGAAATTGAAAGTACGGTGAGTAAAATGGAGAGAGAATATAGTTAGTGAGGAACAATGTATTTTACCCATATTAAAACACGTTTAAGAGTTAAAATGAAATGGATAAACTTCGCATTTAGTACTTAAACTATTAGTTTTGGTCTGTTTTAGTATCTAAACTTTTAGTTTTTCAAAACATACCTAACGTTTAGTTTTTATTCTATTTTAGTATACGTTGTTAAAAACTTATCGGACTGGCTCACTGGCCGTTGCGTCTACAGTCGATCGTCGCATCTGTCGGCTATAAAGCCCAAACTTTCTAGCCCGCACCTTTTCGACCCCCTAATTGTGATTTTGACTTTTGATTAACCAGGAAATTCTCTCATGGTCCATCGTTCAGATTGGTCATCCGTCTACCGGAGTTCTGCCACGTCAGTCCATCGTTAATTTTTAACGGTTGGGGGTAATAAATGAAACAAAAACTAATGTTTTGTATGGTTTTGAAAAAAAAATGAAAGTTTAGGTACTAAAACGACCCAAAATTGATAGTTTAGGTACTAACGCATAGTTTATCCAAATGAAATTTCCCTTATTATTATTACTCCATTTATAATTAGGGTAAACTACATCATTCCTCAATTACCTTTACTCTCTCTCATATTTCACTCATTGTATTTTCAATTTCTAAAAATTACTAAGTAACTTTTGTATTACTCTCCTGTTTTGGTCACCATCAACCACCGTCAGTCTATGAAATCGGTAATCGTTCTAATCTCAAATTGTATAGAGAAACTCCCTTTGACATGTTGAGTCAGAATATAATGGTGTTTAACTAGAAAATGTCCCAAACCTGTGAATCTCGACTGAAGCATGTTCCGACATAATGTAGGTTGCATTCGAACTCAGGGGTCAAGGCAAAGCGACCCATGAAATTTGAGACCGAAAGACCACCATCTAAGGCGGTTGACGACGACCAACGTTTTGATTTTCTCACTTTTGATCATATTCGGAGCATGATCCGACAAAATGAAATTAGAATTCGGACTCAAGGGGGTTAAAATAAAGCAACTGATGAAATCTAGGATCGAATGGTCACCATCTACAACCGTCGACGGTGGCGTCCAACGTCAACGAATAGTGGACATCCATAATATGTTTTTTATTTTATATTTTAAATTATTTTTATATTAAATAATAATAAAAAAATGTCACATCATATCAAAATAATAATAAAATAATTTAGAGTGAGCAATTCAAAAATTTAATAAGTAAATTGAAAAAATTAAAAGTATAATGAGTGAAATAAAAAAGAGGGTAAAGTTCAGTGTGAAATGGTATAGTTTAACCTTATAATTAAATTAGAGTCATATAGTTAGTAGAGTTTACAGTCTCGAGGCATCAACACTAAACCAAGCAAAGTAAGTAGTTGAAGTCTCAACTTCTTGATTCTTCTGGGAAAACACCTTCATTTCCAATACCCAACTTCAGTGCCTTCTTCCAAAGGTATTAATAATTATACAGAGATTGCTTAGAAACCTTTGCTTTTGGAAATTTGATCTTTTTTTTTTCTATTTATTGATGCTCATATATTTGGATTGTTCCTAGTTTCTTCTTGGGTATCAAGCCATCTATATTTCTTTGATTTGAACCTCATATTGAGACACCCTTTTCTTCCTTACCATGACAAGCTTTACATTAAACTAATGTCATCTTCACTTCATTCAATGGTTAATGTTAATTAATTTAATTTATTCATGGTAATATCTTAAGATCACTACTTTGAAAAGATAAACATTGATTAATTAATTTATGACTATGAAATTATGGATCTATGATAACAGTCCTAACATGGGTTGTTTTTAAAAAACAATAATTTGTTGCAGCTGTCTTGTTCTTTAACGTGGGAAGATCTTGCAAATAGAGTCACCAAAGGGGGAAAATATTAAAAAATTTCTTTACTTTAATCCATTCATTTTTAATTCTGAAATCATATGGATACAGATTAGACTTTTATTATTATAAATCATTTATGAATTTAACCTACTGCAAATGATTGGACTTCGTCTATTTTCTGTGTGCCATCGATTTCTAGTGGAAATGGGCGGAGGTAGCTGTGACTTAGTGCTTGAGAGGTTGATTGAATTTCTCGAAGAAGAGGCCCAGCTGCTGAGAGAATTTCATACGGAAGTTGCAGACATAAAGCTTGAGCTAGAGTTCATCGCCTCTTTCCTAAGAGATGCAGATGCTAGGGCTGCCACAGAAGAAAGCAATGAAGGTGTAAAGACATGGGTGAAGCATGTAAGGGAAGCAGCTTATGGCATAGAGGATGTCATCGATGAATACATGCTCTGTGCCGCAAAACACAACGATCAACACGGTTTCAAGTCTTTTCTGAAAAAGATAGCTGGCCGCATCAGGAGTTTGAAGAAAGAGCGTGAGATGATGTCAAAGATTCAAGACCTCAAACGATCAATTCATGAAATTGGAGAAAAGAGAAGAAGGCTCGACATCCATGTCAGTGACCACGGGGGATCAAGCAGAGGACATGTCGACCCTCGAGCTGGCCTCCATTTTGTCGATAATGACGCGCTTGTCGGAATTGAAGCTTCTAGAGACGAGCTGGTCGGAAGATTGAATGAGGGGGATCCATGCGCACAGTGATTTCACTTGTGGGTATGGGAGGTCTCGGAAAGACTACTCTTGCTAAGAAGATTTATGATGACGTTAAAGAACGTTTTGATTGTCATGCTTGGATCACAGTGTCACAATCAAACATCATGGCGGAGCTGCCTCGGACGATGATCAGACAATTCCATGAAGCAAAGAATGATCTCCCTCCCATTGGAATTAACTATGTAACAGACGTCGAGGAACTGATCAGCAAATCCAGAGAATATTTGCAATACAAGAGGTATGTCATAGTATTTTGATGACGTCTGGGATGATGACTTTTGGCATGTTATTCAATCTGCTTTGCCAGAAAATAACAATGGCAGTAGAATTATAATCACCACAAGAAGCCTCAGTGTTGCTGAATTTTGCAAGCAATCTTGCCTTGTTCATGTTCATAATTTGCAACGTTTATCTCTAGAAATGGGCTAAGAGTTTCTATGCAGAAAAGCCTTCAGGTTCGATCAACAGAAGGAATGTCCCAATAATTTAAGACTTTATCTTTCGACATTGCTAGAAAGTGTGATGGATTGCCGCTCGCAGTCGTCTCCATAGGAGGGCTTCTTTCAACCAAGGGCAAGGATGTCTTTGAGTGGACAAGGTTGCGCGATGACCTCAGTAAACAACTGAAGAGCAATCCACATCATGCACATGTCAAAACAATACTATCCATCAGCTATCATGATTTGCCTCATTACCTGAAATCTTGTTTTTTTATGGGGTGTGTTCCCGCATAGTCATCACATTTAGTCAAT